TGGATTGATTGGGCTGCTGGGGCTGCCAAGAGAGGCAGATTCAGCTGCTGGTAGACACATCAACAACTGGATGGCAGGCGGACAACACACTCACTCTGACTCTGACTCCGACTTCGATTGATATTCGTATCCGGGGTTTTCAGTTGCTCTCGCTGCAGTTATTTACAGTGCAACACAAAACGATGAATCGATGATTCCGCCATGAGAAATTAGATCGACTCAATGGAAGACCCATCATCAGCATTGCTGCAGTCAGTCGCTACCAACGCAGCCCACAGAGCCACAAATGCCGACGGAGTGCTGCAAACAAATCACTGGAAATGTAATTGAGAAGGCAACGGAGAATCGAGGAGACTTGGGAATGAAATTTTGAAAATTGCTGCTGGGATTGCGGGTATTATTGAGGCTGCCAAACTGTACACTATCTAACACTGTACTCCGCTTTGTATCCATCTCATGCTACAGCAGCATAAACTCTAGTAATTTTCCCCAAAAGCAGTGCTGGCAAAAATTGCTTGAAATTTTCTTCGTTTTTTGTTTTTCGTTTTTCATGTGGCCATTGCCTCCCTTCGGAATGTGTGGGCGTTAAGGCGGTGCAGCCAAGCAACAAATCGCATTGGCTGCCACACAGCTCCACAGTCCCCAGAACCTGGCTCTGTCCCACTGTCAGCAGCAATCTGTTCGCTTGGTCAACGCCTGTGGGGCAGGGCTCAAGCATTTTGAATTATATTTAACATTTGCAATGGGTTTTCAATATATCCAAACAGACCACTGTATGCAGACCAGTGTAAGCGAAAGATTCTTCATTTGTCACCGCAAATGAAACTAAATGAAATATGTAATATTTTGATCATATCAATTGCCCAAACACAAACAGAAGCTAATGACACGCCCAGCCACCAGCACGCACCACACACGTGTCCAAAAGAACAAGGTCGTAACTCCACTACGGCAAATGAGACAGAGTTTGAGGGGAGCGCGACATGGTCGACTGCTTCTCTGTGCAACTAATCCTGTGCATAATGTTGCATAAATACGAGCGTATGTCAATCGGCTAGCTGAGACGACGATGCTGACTCGAGGCAGCCTGATAAGTGCTGACCATATCCATATCCCAGCCAATACCTCGGAATCTGCCGCCATCAAAATGCAAGCGCAACTCGACGGCGGCAGCGGCGACGGCTCAAACGGAGGCAGCCGCTGCCATTGTGTTTCGGCCAAATGATGTGCCAAACTGACACTGCCAGATAGATACAGATACCCAAAAACCATTAAGGAGCTTAACAGGCGAACCGTGGGGAGTGTTGGCCACTCTGCCACTACCGACTGCAGCCCATATTCCGTTTGGTTTCTGATTTTTGTTATTTTTATTTTGTGACAATTTTAGCAGCAGGAAATAATAAAAGTGCAAACAAACCGTTAGATTTTTCGTATTAAAGTGTTGTTGTCTATGTTAGGTTGTTGGGAGCTGTATTGTCTAGTGGCACAGTGGAATCGAAAGACCAGGTTTAGAGTCCCCATGTGGCAAGCATTTTTAGAGCTTGAATATGTCACGCTGGATGATATAAAAAGAATATAAACAAATTTATATGAAAAGTTTCTTAGCCTTAAACCATTTATACAGAGAGCTTATTATCCCTTTATATATATATATATATATATATATATATATATATTTTTTTTTATAAAAAAAATATAATTCTAAATTTCTCTCAACAGATTTTTTGATTGAATGAACTGCGTATATAACACGATATAACGTAACATATTTTAACGCCGACTTAAGCTTTTTGTCCCACTGTATATCAGCAATGATGACTTTGGGCCAATATTGACAATCTGTCGGATCGAGGGAACGTTTACTGTTGCTGTTTAGAAGCGTAGCTGAAGCCGCGCAATTTGTGAAATTTTTCTTGTTTTGATTGTTTGGTGCCGAGTGTGTGTGGGTGTGTATTTGTGTGTATTTTTATGCCTGCGATAAGCTCAACGGCGACCATAGCAATTCTCATATTATTTGTAAGGATTTTTGCATTTATTGCAAAACGTTTTCAAGGATTTGCCCAAGAGCCGCAACCCAAACAAGGCAACGTTAGTATCTTAATAGTTATCAGGCGATTGTTAGTTGTTTGTTATTATTGTATTTTGGCGTAATTTTTGCTGCTGCTGCTAAGCCAGTAAACTGCCAACTTTATTTGCCACTAAAATTTTATGCCACTTTATAAGCAAGCATAAATAAGACATTTGCACAGCTTACTCGTGTAGTAAATCCATTAGGAAGCGTCGCAATAAAACCGAAAACAGCTGCTGAAAGACGGAATTCATCGAAGCTGTTATAACTTATGAATAAACAACTTCAAAGTTGTAAACGCAAATTGCAAGCAGCTAGACGAGCATAACGGATATGAGCTTTGTCTGGCCAACATGAACAAAGGGTTGGCCGACTAGACGTGGTCACTGAGGCGCGGATCGACAAGGATATTTGTTGTTGATTCATAATCAGCAGCAAAACTTCAAAAAGGATATAGAATTGTTGCTATTCGCACTAGATTGAGATACTTTTTAGCAATAATAATAATAAATAATAATAATCATTCTCATTCAATTTCTTGACAACTTGAAAGCCAATGAATAATTATGAAACTTTACTAAAACACAAAATTATTAACAATTAAATAACTAAAGTCTAAATATTTAATAATTCTCATTCAATTTCTTGACAACTTGAAAGCCAAGAATAATTATGAAACTTTACTAAAACACAAAATTAATAACAATTAAATAACTAAAGTCTAAATATTTAATAATTCTCATTCAATTTCTTGACAACTTGAAAGCCAAAGAATAATTATGAAACTACTAAAACATAAAATTATTAATAATTAAATAACTAAAGTCTAAATATTTAATAATTCTCATTCAATTTCTTGACAACTTGAAAGCCAAGAATAATTATGAAACTTTACTAAAACACAAAATTAATAACAATTAAATAACTAAAGGCTAAGCTGTTTTTAGTAGTTTTATGTCCACACGAACAGCGAGCGATTGTCTTATAAAAATATGATATGCCGTTGTCAACAAGAAATTGATTAACGAGTCGCAGCAACTGGCTTTGGAATGACAATAAAAAACCAAATAATAAAAGCAAAAAAAAAAACCAAAAAAAATAATAGGAAAATAAATTAATTTGTGTCCAAAAAAAAAAAAGAAAGAAGAAATATAAAGTTTTTTGAGCTACAAATATTTGTTGAATTTGGAGCTCCCTAGACCAGTCCGCACTTTCGAGCTCTGGCGCTGGCTCTGGCGTTGGCTCTGGATCTTGCTCTGGCTATCAATATTCCGTTTCGATTTCAAATTAAAAGATTATGACGATAATAAACTTGACTAATCATTTTTATTACAATATCTAAACATTCATGGGCCATTATTGGAGGTTCATGGCCTTTTACCACGAAATTGAACGCTTACTTTTTTTTCCCGTTTTCCCAGAACATTCGCCACGATCTCGATAAGCGACGTAGACGTCAACACACACACACCTGCACAGGTATCGAATGCTGCTCTCAACTGGGCAAAATAAAAACACAGTCAGTTTATTAATTTTTCATAAATTAAATACATATTTTTTTATTTTTTCTTTTTACTTTGTGTATACTTTTTATTTGTATTTCGTTTGCTTTATGTTTTTTTTTTCCTTTTTTTGTATTTCGTTCCATGGGTAATAAATTACGAGACTATGCTTACAAACAGATTGAGACACATTTCTGTATCTATATGAATTATGTGTATCTATATATATATATTGTAATTTATGCCAGTTATCAACTTAACTTACGTGCGAAGTTAATTAATAAATGATAAGATATTATATAATATATTTTATTATTCTTTATTTTTTGTTTGAATACGTTGCGCTTTACCAACTAAATTAACTAAGAATGTTAAATATATCGCCATATATATATATAGATATATATATATAGAACTTTAGGTATTTAATTGTTTTTTCTTCTCTTTTTTTCTGTTTTGTTTTACATTATTTGCCAGTTGTTATAAGTGATATGGAAAGCATTTTACATCAACTTGGCTTTGGCTGTTTATCCAGTTGGCCAACAATTTAACATTTAGTATCACAATTTATCTGTTTTTTGTATTTATTTATAATTAATTTTTTAAATAATTTTTTTGTTTTTTTTTTGTTTTTCTTTTGAAGACAAACCGAAGCAACGCAAGTTGAATATATCTGCCTGGATTTATTGTGTGTAAGTACAATTGATTAAAAAGAAAAAATATGTATAAAAAATGTATTAATTACGAACGTAGGAAACAAAAGCCAGACTAAATTTATAGCGTGTCATATTATTATTGCACATTTGAAATATAGATTTAATATGTTTGGACTTAGGTATCGAATACACTTTCGCAAATGTATGTACTATGTGATTTATATTATGAATTAGTTTACGATTACAATTACCTTAAGTATTTACTTTAAATTCGAATTTTGATTTTACTACGCCTTCAACTTGAATTCTTCAATTGGATTCGATTCGGATCTTGTTCGGCGCATATCATATTATATCATATATTATACATATACATAGTTATATTTTAGGTTGTCAGCCTGAAACGCTATCAGTCTCATTTCAAAGCAATCCAGCGGCGTTTAGTTTTCTTTTTGTTTTTGTAAAGGGAAATTTGCTTTTGATGCATCTTTGGATACGTTTCAGTTGCCATTTTTAGTTAGTTTGTGTTGCTGTTGTTTCAAAATGATTTCCTTAGCTTTTCAATCAATAAAAAAACTGATGTTTATGAATGAAATCATGGCAAAAGAAATCATGAAAAGAAAATCACAGGCGATCAGGCTCTCTGCCTGCCTTCACATTGCCCCCGCTATTTTTTTAGACAAACTTAAAACAGAGAATTCGTTTTTTGTGGGCAACAAAATTTATGAATACAAATCTTTTGTTGTATACGCGCAATTGTTTTCTCCTCTTCTCTGCTTCTTCTGCTTCTTCTTTTGTATGGACTCTCTGTGGACTACCTTGTGAGGACGCTCCACCTCCTCTCCGCTCGCAGTCAGTAGTCGCCGTCAACGTTGCGTGTCCACACTTTGCATTAACTCGCACTTCACAACACAGCATGAGATCATATTGTTGCGAGAGTCTATTTTCACGGCCAGAGGCTGTTATTTGGATTACTGTTGATCAATCTATCGATAATTATTTAACTTATTCACGATCATCGCTCCATTCGTTCATCTGCAACAGATCGGCAAAGCGAAGACAAATATTGTGTGAGTTTGGGCGAATAGAAGTCCTTGACTTTGCTTGTTTATGGGCAACAGGCTCAGGGAATATGAGCTGCATTGGGAGTGTGAGATATTGGAAGACTTACATACTTTACTGCACGATTTCTGAAGGTCTCCTGCTCCATGTCGCGAATCTTGTGTGTCAGCATATGCTGCTTGAGGTTACCCTGCAACAGAATCAATACAGAGGAGAGCAGAAGGATTTGTGTTAGGTCTCTTGTCATCCAAGCATCGATAAGCCAACCCAGCTGGACGCCCACAAGTATACTGTCCTGTACATACCTTAGTTGTGAAGCCGCGATCGCAGATGTTGCACTTGAAGGGCCGCTCTTTGGTGTGGCTCCTGTAGTGGATCTCAAGCGCCGAGTGACAGGGGAATGTCTTGTAGCAGATGCCGCACGTGGTGCTGCCGCGCACTCCACTGAGCGCCAGTGGGTTGAAGGGTGCGGCTGGCATTACGGATTGCGCGATTTGGTTCATGGCGTTGCACATGTTTTGTGTGGTGGCAGGCGGGAATATTGGTAGATTGGGAAACATGCCGAAGGGTGGCCGCGCCGTTATCAGCGGATTCGGTGGGGCAGGTGGACCGCTGACTGACGATTCGCCGGAGCGCGGTGCGGGCTGCGGCGAGGCCTGACGCTGGGCCGCGGCTGCTGCTGCGGCAGCTGCTGCAGCAGCTTTCTGCTGCACCTCCTGCGCCTCGCGGCGTAGATGCTCCTGGTGTTGGTGCAGAGCAACCGCATGCTGCTGCATCTGATGATGGTGATGCTGGGCGGCTGCTGCGGCGGCTACAGCAGCTTGCTGCTGCATGAGATGCTGATGCTGCTGCTGCAGATGATGCTGCAGGCCAGGCGGCAGGCAATCAATGCCTACGGACGGCGGCAGCTGCGAGGAGAGCAGCGATGCGGGGCCATTCGGGCTACGCACCGGAGGCTGCTGACTAAGCGGGCTAATTGTCTTCTCCTTGCGCTCCACGGGCGGCGGAAGGGGTGAACGCGAGCTAGAAGAGGCGACCGGAGGAGGAACAGCCCGTGGCGTCAGATCTAGTGCACCCTGGGAAGTCTCCGAGATGGACCGGACAGGTGAGCAGCTGGGCTTGGGCTGCGAGCTCGGGCTGGTGGGCGCCGAGGGAGAGGCCGATGCGGAGCCGATAGAGTTGGCATTGCTGGCGGCTGAATGTGGTCGCTGATGGCTGTTTATGTTCACGACTCCAGTGGGGTCAATGCGCAGCTTCTGCTCGAACAGCAGCGACTTGAAGTCATCGCCAGAGCGCGGACGCTCATCGGCTGTGGGGTCATTGCTGTTGGATAAGTGTTCCGAGGAGGCATCATCGAAGTCATCCCCATCGCCGCAGTCCATGTTGTCGTCGAGATCGCCTTGCGACGACTCCGAGCCTAAGGCGCCATTGTGTGGGCCACCGGGCATGCCGGCACCGCCAGGTGGACCGCCGGGGCCGCCGCCTGGCATAGCTCCAAAGTGAAAGGCCGCCGCCGCGAAGGGATTCATAAAGTGTCCGGGCATCATTGAAGGCGGCGGATCACGGATCTCAGCCGCCTGAATCTGCTCGGGAGTCAGGTCCGTCGGCTCGCCCGTGTGCAGACGTATGTGCTGCTGCAGGACAAGCGCATTCGAGTACTTCTTGTGGCAGACGGGACACTGGTGGAAGTTGCGCATGGGTGGCCGAATCTTGTGCACAGCCATGTGGGTCTTCAGATTGCCCTTCGTGGTGAAGGCGCGTCCGCAGATGCGACACTTGAAGGGCCGCTCGCCCGTGTGGGTGCGATAATGCATTTGGAGCGCGCTCTTGCACGAAAGCACCCGATCGCAGACCACGCACTGATTGGGGTCCGTGATTTTCTTGTTTTTCATCAGCTCCTTGAGCTTCATGGTCTCCGACGTATTCGAGACCTCGATGAAATTCTCCCACGAGTTGTCGTTGCTGTGCGGACGCGGCAGCAGGGCAGCCATCTCGTGCTTGATTGGATTGAAGAAGGGCGAACGTGGAATATGTGCGTGTGCGTGGCCGGCGGGCGAGCGGATGGGCGAGTGGTGCTCCGGCGACAGCGTCTTGGTGGTGAAATTCAGCGGGAAACGCTCGGCAAAGAAGTCCTCCCGCTGCGCCATTGACGGGGGCAGCTGCCCGGGCGTCGGCAGCTGATCGAGGTGCGCCTGCGAGCTGGGAGAGCAGTGGGCGTGCAGGATGGCAGCTGGTTGGATGGGCTGCACTACGGGCGGATAGGCGGGCATCGCGCTGGAATGGGAGTGCATGTGGTGATGGTGCCGATGCATGGGTGGTGGGGTGTGCGTCACAGCGTCGGCTGATGGCGTGGGCGTGCGTCGGCTAAGTGCCTCCGCTTGCTGCAGCCGCCCTTGCTCCTGTTCCTGCTCCTGCTCATCGTCCACACGCTCCTCCTTTATCCGCACCTCAAGCGGCAGTGGCTCTGGCTCGGGCTCGGGCTCTGGCTCTGATTCGGCGCAATCAGCTGCGGCCTGCTGCTCAGCTGCGTTCTCTGGCTTTTCCTCTTCCATCAATTCTGTTTTCACTGGCAAATTGGCCACTTGCACATGGTCTTCTTCTTGCTCGCGTGGCGAACTGGGACCTGACGACTTGCGCAGGTCTGTGGGCATCTCCTGATTCTGCTGCTGCTGCTGCTGCTGTGTGTGCTTCAGGGCAGCGCCCAGCCCCGGCATCTGCGGGAAGAAGGGATGCGGTAGTCCAGCAGCGCTGCCAGCAGCTGCGCCAAGTGACTTCAGCAGCTCCATGGGCGGGCGGTACATGCCCTGCAGGCCAGGAAAGGCTGCGCTCGAGGCGAATGACATCGAGGACTGCATCTGGGTCAAGGCGGATGTTGATGTCGGCGGCAGGCCAGGCGCCGGCGCCGGCGACTGCGTCGGCGAGCTGTCGGGCGACATTTGATCCAGCAGCGGCGGATGAAATTTGTCCATGTGCTCCGGTATGGGCGTTGCGTTCATGGGCACATGCGGAAACTTTTGGGCATGCCGCTGAAAGTGGACCTTGAGGTTGCCCTTGGTGGTAAAGCGGCTGCCGCACACGTTGCACTTGAAGGGACGCTCGCCCGTGTGGGAGCGTATGTGGATTTGCAGAGCAGAATCGGAGCCAAAGACCTTGCCGCAGTAGCGGCAGCGGTGCTTGAAGAACGGCTCATTGCGACCCTTGCCCTCGCCGGACTTGTCCCCAAAGGCAAAGTCGTCGGCCATGTTGTTGGCCAAGATGCCCTGGGAGGCAGAGTCGAGCACCTCCTGGGTGCGTTTCTGCAGCAAGTCCAGGGAGTTGGGCTCTGGTAAGTCGTCGTGGTTGGTAATGATGCTAGAGGCCAAATCTGAGCCGAACGGCAGCGGCATGTTCTCCATCTCCTTGAGCTTGGAGAGCGCATCCTGTGGACTCTCCTGCTCGCCGAACAGCTTAACGCTCGCGCTGGGCGGCTTGGCGTTGCCATCTTCGGTGCGTCTGCGCTTCAGAGACGACGACGCTGACAGCGACGAGGCAGCCGGGGAGGTGGACCGGGATCGCTCGCGCAGGGGCACTCCCGCATTGATAAGATGCTGGCGCGCCTTGGACTCGGCCATGCGTGCCTCGGCTTTCTGGCGCAGTTCCATGTCTGCGATGCGCTCCTCCTCCTCGTAGGTATCCGTTTCGCCATCCTCGCGCTCTTCCGGCTCGAGCTCCTCGTCGGCCTCGTCTTCGTTCTGCTTAGCCTGGTTGAGAGCCAGCTGCGACTGCAATTGCTGAATTAGCTGAATCTGAAAGAGCTGCTGCTGCTGCAGGTTGAAGAGCGTCTGCTGCAAGAACGCCAGCTGCTTCATGGCCGCCTCGTTGTCGGTGCCGGAGGCGCCGTTCGCAATTGTCTTGGCCGCAAACTGTGCAATGGCCATCTGCATATTTTGTATGGCCTCCAGAGTGACAGGTGTGGCGCCAAACTGCTGCGCTGCTGCTGCTGCCGCAGCATCCGCGGCGTTGCTCGCTGGAGGCGTACTCGAGATCTTGCTGTCCGCCGTGCTCTGCTCCTGCATTTCGACAACCAGTTCCGGGTCCTTTGCGGGGCACGCAGCCTGCCCAGTCGCCTCCTGCTCCTGCATCGAGGAGCTCGCGGCTGTGGGTGAGTTCGGCATCGAAGCGTTTGAGTTCGCGTTCTGCTCGATCTCGTGCTCGGCGGGCGGCTTTGTCATGACCACTTTGGCGTCGTCGTCGTTGTTGTTGTTGTTGTTGTTATGATTAAGATCTGCGATTGTCTCATACGCATTATTTTCTAGCTGCTTCTCCGGGGCGAGCTCCTCCTTCCCTGCCGCCTCCCTATCCAGCTCGTCCTCGCTCTGGTGCTGCGGACTGCGGCTGGGACACGGACTGTTGCCTAACGGACTGGCGCTAGCCGTCGCAGTTGTCAGCGGCGAGCAGGCGCCATTGTCCTCCTGATCACTTGCTATGTCTGCCGGAATAAACACACAAATCAGAAACATGGAAATTAACATCAGTTTCAAAAACAAAATTTACTAATTTCATTGCTATTTACTTATTTTCAATGCAAACATCTCAAACAGTTTGACAACTTCAAGCTGAATCAGTCAGAAAATCGAATCAATGCAAAACTGAAAGCCAAAACTGAAGCTAATGTGGCATATGAGCTCACATAACATTATATAAATTATCTATATATATTCTGCTTTTGCTATGACAATTTCAGCTTGCAGATGTTTGCTCCACTGTGCACACTTGGCAATGGCAGCAACAGCAATAACTTGTTGGCTTTGGCAACATGTTGCTGCTGCTGCCTGGCTTAGCTATAAGACTCCCCCGCATGCCTCACCTGCTGCCCACCTCTGCCAGCTCTGCCAGCTCTGCCACATCCCATGTTTTCCTTTTTATATGCTGCTGCTGCTGACCATTGCAATGTCGCATATATGACTTAATCGTTAGCAATTGTTCATTGCAATGCGGCGCTGTTGCTGCTGCTTGCGCAGCTAACTAAATGCAATTACATTTCTTGTGGCCATAGAGGCAACCAGTTGGCCCGCTCGACCACTTCGGCCAGTTCGTCAATGTTGTGTGCTTTGTTTTTGGAAAGCAATTAGCAATTCGCTGTTGTTCACCAGCTGATTCTCACCTGTTGTGCACATAGTTTTTGTGTTCAATCAGTGCGCGAAAAAACAGCTGACATTTGTTGGCCCAAAAGGCCAATGAAAGGCAGCGCGACAAATGTTTTTGGTATATCTTCAATATTGAAGAGCCAAAAATTTGGTGCGCATGCGCAGCGGCTATAAAACATAATTTATGATAAGCAGAGCCACGAAACGAGATAAATCTCCATTTGTAGCCTCGCTCGCCTTGCTGCTCCGCCGGAGACACACTCAAAACTATAATAAAGCATATTTCTGCACAAATCAAAACGAGTCGAGCGAGTTTTCTACATAAAATATACAACAGGCTCGCAATACTTTGGGCAGCTACGTTTTGGCTGGACGGCTGGACGGCTGACTGGCTGGCTATCTCGGTTTATTTGCATATCGATCGCATTAATATAATTATTATTTTTAAAGCGAATATTACGCTGATGACGATGACGATGAGATCTGAAGCGTTGTTCCTCATTTGGGAATTCGTATTTTTAATTCTCTCACTTTTTTTTTTTTGCTTTTTGTTGTTTTAATGTTTTATTTGATTTGCCGCCTGCCAAATGCAACTTGCAAAAAGATTTCGAGTGTCGTCTCTCGTTAACAAATATTATTAGCTTATTTTGTAATTATTTTGCAGCGGGTTCAAACGAAAATGCTTAACAAAAACAAAAAATATATAATAATTATTGTAACTGATAAGTGAATGTTATTTTAATTAATTAAAGTTAAGTTTAATGGGCGCCGTAAAACCGAGAGGCGGTCGCTTTGTTCCGAATGACATGCGCCCATAAAAATGTAACAGCAAATCGTATTATGATGCCCATAAAATTGTCAACAAATCGAATCGAACATGGGCCAAGTCGTTTGTGCAATTGCTGACGAGAAAACACAAATTTTGTTTATTGTTTTGGCCAAGACAACGAACTGCATACTTCGCACAGATGTCTCAGCCAAGTCAGATCTTTGCCCTACTATTCCTGCACATATATATTTCTTGAGTGTATTTTTATTAAATTTTATTATTGTCAATATGTATTTGGAGAGCAAACAATATGTAGTGACGACATAAATTGTATTGAGCTGCACAAAGTTGTGCCAAGGTGGATTAAGTCAAGCCATAAATTCATTTGTGCGACCCCTCGAAGCATTAAATTCAAATAAAATACAGAAAATATCCAAAAGCAAAGCAAAAGTTTTCTAAAAACCGAACAATTCAGATTTAAAGTTTAGCCCAGTGTCCAATGTGATGTTTGCATCAATTTATAATAGTTGCGGCCCGTTCGGCTGAGCGACAACAACAACTACTTTGGCCACTCAAATTGGCCGAGCACCTATATTTAGTGGGGCATATTTTGGCTCTAAGCAAGTCAAATCTGAACTATAATTATTATTCGAGTGAACAACAAAGTTGTGTTCAGTTCAGTTTGCTTTTGTGTTTTCTACTTTTTGTCATTTTACATTGACGAACGCTTCAATTATTCCATCATCATATTCAATATGCAAATAAGACAGGGTATACACATAGCGACGATTTTCTATTTTTTGTGCAGCCATGTAGAAAATGCAAAACAACTTTAAAGCAGCAGCAGCAACAGCAACCGCAACAGCAACCTGGACAGAGCGGAGACACTGTACGTGGCATGCTGCATAATTTTATAATATCCAAGTCCATTGTCGATTGCCCATTTGGATACGGATTCCACGAGCTTGGCATAAAATTGACACTCGGTTCAAATTGAATTTCATTTATATGAATTTCAAGCATACATAAGTAAAAAAAGAACAACAACAACAAGAAGACGTACCACAAATGAATCCATTAAAATTGGCCTACGGAACTCGAAGCAACACAAAATGGAAATATAACAGAAAGCAATTCCACAAAAAAGAGTCGCATAAATAAAAATAATTAAATAATTAATTGTCTTTGACTTTTGCTCAGCCCCAACAAATAAACCAAATGCACATCAACAGCCAGCACATATTTCTGCTGTACTTAATCCATAGACAAATCATAAGCCAAGTCACTGACTACGCAATACTCGCCCAAAGGCACAGGCAATCGCTAAGCCTCTTGGGAAAGCTCTATGCAGAGGAGCTTGAGCGTAAAAGATCTCTCTTTATCACATTTGCCACGCCCAAAGCCAGTGCTTATCAATCTAAGGAGTGGCTCATCCATCAGGCACATATTTCAAACTGCAATAATTCACAATGGCCACAAGATTTTGAAGAGTTTATAGAATTTACCCACTTCAGATTGCCAGTGTCTGGCTGCTAAACCCAATATGCCCGCTTCACTATGCGAACGAGTATATTTTTGCAAACTATTTTTTTCTTTCGATATTTGTCTAATTTATGATGTCGGACTAATGAATATATTTATTAATACTCAGCAGCAGACACAGAACTTTACTAAATGATTTAAGCTATTTATATATACATATATGTGCCTATATATATGTGTGTATGTATGTATATGTATAACAGCAGATTTAAGCATAAGTTTAGCCAAAAAAATGTTGAAACAACTCAGAGAAGAAAAACACCTGCAGGAAAAGACTTTTAGAAAAATGAATAATGTCCTTAATTAAATATCGTATAATGTATGTATACATAAATTTGGGTCTGTACAATTTCAGTGTGTTTAAATGCTCATTAATGCTCTATTATATAATCATAAAGTAGAAAGTCGATAGACTAGTATAACAAACCCAAACACCGAAAACCGAAAACCAAAACCTAAAAAACTGAAAACTGAAAAAAAGAATCAACAAATAACTGAACCAGTTTTTGGTTAATTAACAAATTTGTCATTTTTGAACAGCCCAAGACACAATAGGAAATAATAAAATATAAATAAAAAACTGTAACTGGAAATTTGGGGCGCTTAAAAGCGTTTTCCGACCGACAGAAAAATGGTAGCCAAAGTGTTGAAAATTTTTAGAAAATGTCCGCAACATAAATAAATATTAGTGTTTCGTTGTACACATATTTGTTGTTAATATATGCAACAGTTTTGTTTTTCAAAATATAAATTACAATTTGAATTTTTTCTCTTTGGATTTCCAGTTTTTTTTTTTTTGTCTGTTTGGGAAACGATAAAAGTTTGTTTTAAGTGCCTTAAAAGCCTTCTTTTGTCTCCATATTTCTTACACTCTCTCTCCCGCTCTGCCTCCCTGCCTCGTTGCATCTCTCTCACGCACACGCACTTCGTGTTGCAGCATTTCACTCTAACTCTTTGCCTTACGCCAGCTTTAATATCTTTGCTCATTTTTTTATTACAAATCAAACGACGATTTGGATTTAAATAATATGATTTAAGTGAATGCATTTATAGCTGAATATAAATGTATGTTATATAGACACAAGTATATATATATATGTATATATATATATAAAACATCTTCCATTTACTTAACAAAGTCAGTTTGCTTTGCCTTAATCCCTGGCTAAATTTAATACAAAATTAATTCATTCTATGCTGCTCCAATTAATTTATATTTTGTTCATAATCTGCAGATAGTTCTGCAGCCACTCAACGCTATCTCACAGACAAGTTTTATACTATTTTCTTATATGCCGATAAGCTCTGCTTGATTGGCTGCTTTGGCCTTAACAGTAGTGGCCATAGGTGTGTGGACAAAGCTAATAGATGCAGAAGCATTCATAATCAGTCACCACAAAATATCAGTTATTTTTTTATGGCAACGAAATCAGCATATAAATAAAAAAAATTAATGAAGTTGATTCAATTTGTCGAAAACAGCAATGCAAACATCATAAAACACGGACAAAGATACAGAAATAAAGATATATCTGCCGTATCTGAAGCATTTGAGTACACTCTGTAGAGTTGGCTTTCACTCAGTTTTGTTATATGGCAGATCTTTGACTTACCTTTCTCGGCGCTTCTGGCGCGATCCTTCAGCTGTTTGACAATGCCATATTTAACGGTACCAAATTGTATCATTTTATTGATGGTCTCCTGGTGATTATCCTTGAAGTCACTACGCATTGCACACAAAAACCTTTGGGGCAAGTGATGTTTTATCAAGAATGCAGAATTTGTCGTTTGTTTACTTTAATCAATTTCAGTTCTCTTCTTCTTCTTCTGCTTCTGCTTCTTCCTCGTTGTCGCTTAGCACATATCAAACATTATTTGGAGGCTTTGTGTTGGAATGGGTGGAAATTAGGAGTGTGTGTTCTGTATTTTGGCGCCAGTTGGCCAAATAATATTGATGATATGTCATGCGCGTGGAATTCGACCCATGGTCCCTCGCCTTGTCGCACGGTGCTAAGTTATTGGAGACGTAACGGTAAGGCCTGCCCTCGGTCAGTTTTGATTGTTTCAATTATTCGCGCGATTGTGTTTTTCCGTCGGCTTTGCGATAACAATTTACTTCAAGTTTCATCTTCAAATTAAACTCAACACATATCTATATACACACACATAAATATACTTCTATATATATAGGGATTGGCGATATATTGTTATGGACACTTTGTCACAATCTGATTGGAATTGGGAAATTGTACGCGCACTCGCTAAATATTTTTTGTATAGAAACGGGAATAATGGTCGGTGTGTTCGCTCAGTGGCGGAATCGCTTGGTCTCTCTGCGGCACGAACGTTCAGCACGCGCGTCAAAATAACACTGACACAAAACACAAACAATATCTTTGAGATACTTTTAAGGCACACACACACGAACACAAGCGGACACACACTCGCAAACACGAATACACGACTATACGAATACACGAACGCAGCGGCGTTGTCGTCGTTTCTGCTGTTGTTGCTTCGGGCAGCGACGACGACGACGCGACCGGTTTACTATCAATATTTTTACATGCGCTCTACCTATGCACGGCTACGTGTGTGTGTGTGTGTGCAACATTTTTATTATAACTGCCACCAACAGCAACAACAACATGGGCAACTGGCTTATCCTGACATTCATTCAACCTACCCACCTTATACACTCTCACACACACACACGTATATATACATATATCTCAGAGGCGCACTCGCTCACATTTCATATAATTTTTCATATATAAACGCTCTCGCTCCCACTTGCACACACACCCTCTCCAGTGCGCACACACACACAGACGTATTTCCCTCTCATCATAACTTTTATTAAATTTTGCTCGACAGTCGGTCTTTGTTGTCTTGCTTGCACCCATGAACAGCTATGCTCGCTGTTACTGTTACTGTTGCCATCAACCTCTCACCGCTGCTCAGCTTGCTGCCCTCGCGCGCTCTCTCTCTCTGTCTCTCTCCCTGTCGCGCTCATGAGTGCAGGATTCTCAGTCTCTGGTGTTGCTGCTTACCTGTTTGCTGAACGGACATTTATGAAACTTGTTCGAAAAATTATGAGACACTCACACACACACACATACATTTACAGAGCGAAAGAGACTTGCCGTGGTTGATGTTACAAAAAAAAAGCGTCAGGAAAGTTTGTGTTGGCGCTCGCCTCGGCAGCGCTCTCCCTGCTCCTTCTACTGTTTCCTTCCGCTTCTGTGGCTCGCTCACCTTTTGCGCCATTGTTTTTGTGATTGTGGTAAGCGTGCTCTTGGCGTTTTTAACAGCTACATATGTACGTTGATTCGGCTGCTCTCGGGTGCGCTGTCTGACGAGCTGCCTTCTCGCTCGCACTTACACAATCTTGGTTAATAATTTATCATAATTCATATGCCCCGGCAACTGGTTGTGAGCCCCCGCTTATAAATGTACGGCCCTTTTACAGCTGCCATCTCGCTTCCACGCACGCCTGCGCTTCGGTCATGTGTTGCGCGCACTCGTCCCACCTTTAGCGCTGCCACTCCACTCTTTCTTTCCTTCTCTCTCTCTCTCTCTGTCTCTCTTTCGCGCAGTTATGAGCGCCGTTTCTGTTGTTGCTTTTTTAATTTCGGTTTTATAAGATTTTCGGTTCTTTGCTATTGTTCGCCCCCGACTCATTGGACCGTTCGTCCGCCTGTCTGCTTTGGGTGCTTCGCTTATTCGTCAATTCCGTTTTGTGCGTGTGCGTGTGCTATATATGTGTATGTGTGCGCTGAGTATTATGAGCCATTCATCAAAATGTTTGGTTTCCTGTTTCGTTTCATTGTTGTTGTTGCTCTTTTTTTACTTTGGGCAACTCCCACTTATTTTTTATTATATTCTTGTCGTTCGATTCGAGACATTTTTATCGGTCTAAGCTTGCCAAAGAGTTTGAAACTAACTGCAAGAAAATGTTGAAACAACTAAAAACTTGCACTTAAAACTCGAATGAATTCGATTGTGACTCAAAATTGCGGACATCTGTTGATAAGGCTTGTGGGCTCTGTTTTTTATATAAACATTAATTTTCTTTGTTTTTATTTTTATTGTTTTGCCGATTTTTGGTAATTACAAAAATTGCAAAACTCTTTAAAAATAAAAACACTTCAAAACGCGCTGACTAATTGCTTAAACAATTGATGAATTGCAGCTCTTTGATTACTAACTTTAATTGTTCAATTGCCAATTTAATCAAATGATTCAATATTTAATTTTTTCCTTTTGTTTCATATGAAGAGAGGAAGTACATATTGAAGGAGTAGCATATAAAAATTGTGCAAAAATATATAAAATAGAACTCAAGGCAACACGAAAAGCTTAAAAAATATATAAAGAGAGTTCGAGTTGAGCTTAAAGTAGAGGAGCAAAAAAAAAAGTCGAGGCGAGCGCAGCAGTAAAGCAAAAAAAGAAAAAGAAAAAGTCGACGCCAAAGCCAAAGCCAATCGCCACCTTGCGCACCAGTAAGAAAGCAGAAAACGGCGCACTCATAAACCAACAACAAGACGAGGCGAAATGTATACAGTACGCCTCCTGCCCACTCATATCTCAGCTCGCGTGCATGTGTGTGTGAGGGTTTGTTTATGTACCAGACCAATACATAATTCATAACGCTCATATTCGCTCATTTTGCGCCGCCGTCAACAGCCAACCGCCGCAGCCAGCGACGTATATGTAGCTGCCCTTTTCATATCTGCCATTATACTCAAACTGATACGCCAATACAGATACGAGGCGGACACATAGTACGGTATGTTTTTTGATAGACTCTCATAATCATAACGAAAACAACAGCAACAACAAGGAATACAGCGTGCGTTGCACGCTCATTGAATTCTTACAGGTTGCTTGCCTATCTCTCTTGCACTCTCTGGTGAGCATTCATGTTTACTACAGTGGCGGCAGCGCAACAGACGCTCTCATTTTCGAAAAAAATGTCTGCTATTTCAGTCACTCTCTCGATCTCTGTCATGCGCTGTTAGCAGTCAGTCTTATACACTGTTAATAAATTTCGTTCGAAAAACTGTGCTGTGCGCTGTTAGCGATTACCCCTGTGAAATGTTAAGATACTATGAGACCGTTAATGTGTGAGTACGCGTGTGTGTGTGTATCTGTGTGAGTATATGAATTGGCTTAAAGGTTTTTTTTTAATTACTGAAGACGTTTCGTATGGCCTTTTTTATAAATTCCATTAGCTCATAATGCGAAACAATAAACTGATTTTTATTTCCTATGACAGCCATAAAATCTTTATTTTGCAAAAAAAATGCTATATTTGTTATCTTTTTTTAAATTACTTACGAATTGAAATTTACATTTTGCTAACATTTTGGAATTTAACTTAACCTTTATAAGATCTACAAACTATATCATCAATATGCAGCCTGGCAACCCATCCGATTTTCTCGCTCCATTTTAAGTACCCTTTTTTTTTGGTTTTTTTTTTCTTATCGTAGTTTTGGGATCTAGAGGTAAGCGGTCTCTTTGTTGCCCTAATTAAAAATCGAAGAAAAAGAAGTTAAGTGAAATAAAATATGTAATTTACAAAATGCAAACGAAAGTGAAATAAAAACAAAAACATCCAAAAAAACGGAATCGCTTCCGCCTGATCGAATCGAAATTTATTCGTCGGTCTCCGCTCAAAGCCTCGAGGAAGGCGAATGGAAATGTGGAAAATAAATAAAAACAATTGAAAATGCTCTAGTCGGGTGTACCTGACCGGAATACTGGTCGCAGAAAAAGTAGTAACACTCGCAACAAGGATGTGGGACCATGTGACACGTTTAGCCAATTCTCGGCTGGAAACGGCTAAGTTATTAGCACTGCTATTTGTCCACAAAGAAGCTGAGTTAGTTTATAAAAGATATGTCCGAAAAAGGCTAACAGTTTGACAGATGAACAATTATGTAAAAAAAAGGTTCGGCCAACGCTGTCTATGTCCTTGAACACCTTACCGCTAAATCTAGAAAGCCAAAAGAACAACAACAACAAGAACAACAGCATTGACATAGAATTTCATTCCAATTTGATCAGCCTTCATTTTTCTATAGCGCAAACATATGAATCATACATTAAATAAATCTGTTCAGAAAAAGGCTAAAATGTAATAAGTCTACTGCTTAATTCACTAATGCAATCCAATTATTAAAATAAGCAAGTTCTTTCCGGCTAAAAGTCTTTGTTAACGAATTCTTTACACTCAATTTAAAGGTTCTACAAACGTACACATGTATTTTATAAGCTTCTATTACAAAAAATCTAGTTCCGTTTGGAAAGTTGATCAAGATGGCATATACATATATATATATGATGGACTGACATTCACATTTAATATATATTCAATTGCCAGCGGAGATAGTTTAAAAAAAGGCCACAGCATTTTTGGCTTAAAACTCTCTACTCTTCTATTGTTGTCCATTTGCGTTGAACTCACATCTTCTTTATACACACGGTGGCAGCTAAATCAGTTTAAAAAAGCTAGATATCTCTAGATTTATAAAAGGCTACATTAGCAGCACTGCTCCTGTTCTCTAAGCCCTTTGAAACATTACACTCAATTATACCGTTACATACACATATGATGAGAGTGTATTGAAAAGCTCTAGATCTAGCTGGAGAACGTGAAAGTTGGCAGCTTTAAAGTTTGGTATTGCTTTTAGCATACGATAACTAGCTAAAAAGGCTAGGAATGTTTAATTGGCAGCACTATTTGCCTACTTTTCATCTGTATTGCCTCACATCTTTCTGTTAGACACACACACACAAATACTCCTCAATGGAGATGCACTTTAACATAGCTTTGTTTAGCCATTTTCGCTGTCGGCTCACATTGAGGGAAATAAAATAAATAAATAAATAAAACTTATGGCCAGTTCGTTGCACATGCGCATTGAATTTAAATTTTAGGCGATCCTCGCTAAAGGATTTTCATTTGTTTTCCCAAATTTCCATTCGTTTGTTCAACCCGCGTTTTTCACACTTGTCCGCCTCATAACAAATTATGCCAAAAATTCTAAGACGCCGCCCTTTAGCGGGCTCATAGACGTGCCACTGAATAGGTTTGGCTTCTATTTGAACAAGCAGAGTTATGGATGGGTTTTCTCTTAGGGCATTTTATGGCCACGTTCTAGCGCTTGCTAGCGTTACAGAATTTTAACAATTTAACAAATTTTTATTTGATTTTAATGTTCACTATTTTTGCCGCCTTCTTCGTTTCATTTCGAATTATGGCC